TAAAACTACCCCACAAATTTCTAGAGGGAAGCATGGGACTGCCCCCACTGAAAACCCTAAATGAATCCCAATAAGATGAAACACCTGTGGCTCAAACGTGTGGAAGGTCAAGCCACCAAGTCAATTGGAACACTGGGAGGACACTGGAAATCAAAGAGAAAACATCCTCCTAGGTTTCTGGATACTGAGTTTTCCAAATCTGCTGGCATATTGAGTGCAGCACTTGAATAGCATCATCTTTTAGGGTTTGAAATAGCTCAGCTGGAATTCCATCACCTCCACTACCTTTGTTCATAGTGATGCTTCCTAAGGCCCATTTGACTGTGCACTCCCAGATGTCTGGCTCTAGGTGAGTGACCACACCATCATGGGTCATTAAGGCTTTTTTGTACAGTTCTTCTGTGTATTCTTGCCACCTCTTCTTAATCTCTTCTGCTTCTGTTACGTCCTTGCCATTTCTATTCCTTTACTGTGCCCGTCTTTGCATGAAATGTTCTCTTGGTATCTCCAATTTTATTGAAAAGATCTCCAGTCTTTCCCATTCTATTGTTTTCCTCTATTACTTAAGAAGGCTTTCTTATCTCTTCTTGTTACTCTCTGATATTCTACATTCAGATGGATATATCTTTCCCCTTCTCCTTTGCCTTTTTGCTTCTCTCCTTTTCTCAGCTATTTGTTAGGCCGCCTCAGACAACCACTTTGCCTTCTTGCATTTCTTTTTCTTGGGGATGGTTTCGGTCACCACCTCCTATACAATGTCACGAACTTCTGTCCATAGTTCTTCAGGCACTCTGTCTACCAGATCTAATCCCTTGAATCTATTTGTCACACGAATGATCCTGGGGTGTTCTCTATGCAGTCCTGATTGCATCAATTCAAAAAGTCACTCTGTATAGAGGGGGTTTGGACACAGATCCTTCAAGTTAAGGAAAAATGTACATTTCAATCCAATAATAGAAGTATTTCCTCATTGTAGTTACAACCATGTGCTTGAATGACTGAAGGTTTATGGAAGCCAGAGTCAAAATCTCTCAAAGTCAAGAAGAAAAACTCAGACAAACACAGCACAGACATACCTCTAGTTCTCTAAGCTTTATACTGCATCAGCTGGGAACCTCAGAAAGCACCATGTTTGGGTGTGTATTTGAAAGGCTTTCAATGAATTACAATTTGGTGCTCTATCCTTGGAAAGCAAGGAGATCAAACCAGTCAGTCTTAAAGGAAATCAACCCTGAATACTCTTTGGAAGGACTAATGCTGAAGCTGAAGCTCCAATACTTTGGCCACCTGATGCAAACAGCTGACTCATTGTAAAAGACCCTGATGCTGGGAAAGACTGAAGGCAGGAGGAGAAGGGGACGACAGAGGATGAGATGGTTGGATGGCATCACTGACTCGATGGACATGAGTTTGAGTAAGCTCCAGGAGTTGGTGATGGACAGGGAAGCCTGATGTGCTACAGTCCATGGGGACACAGAGTCGGACATGACTTGGCAACTGAACAACAATAATAACAACAACAAGCCCTATCCTTAGTTAATTTGAAATCAATATAATGATGATACATGAAGGACAGTTTTGCATCTCTGCCAAATCACTGCTCAGATCATTCATTACCTTTTTGTTCCATGACCTTTACACCTTGAGAATGCCTTTGTTTTCTTTTGGTTTATCAGAACTATATACACCACTTTGATTTGGGGTTTTGTTTTGTTCTGAGCCACCAGGGCAGCCTCGGTGCTCAAGTACAGTGATTGTTTCACTGCAGGTTCCTGGTAGAAATCATCTGCTCCTTTTCACTCTGGCTGATACTGTTTCTCTGACTTTAACTGTCCCCTGTGTGCTTTCATAGGTGGCCCTAGACACAAGAGACATGGGTTTGATCCCTGGGTTGGGAAGATCCTCTGGAGTAGGAAATGGCAACCCACTCCAGCATTCTTGCCTGGAGAATCCCATGGACAGAGGAGCCTGGTGAGCTACGGTCCATGGGGCTGCAAAGAATCAGACATGACTGAAGCGACTGAGCATACATCGTATTGTTAGAAATGGGGTAGGGTGTAACTTATCAGTCATTAAGTCCTGTACCATAATCACTTAAACAGTGTCTGGCACTTGCTGAATGCTTGATCAATATTTAATTAACGAATGGCTGATGGATGGTTTCCGAAAACCGACTCAATTTGACTTTTCTGTAACTAGCAGTGGATGGCCACTAGGGGGAGGAAGAGTGCCCACTCAAACCTGCGGAGGCCCGTGTGAGGCCACAGGCAAGGGTTTTGGGTAGAGAGCAGGAGCGTTTTTAAACAACCAAACCCTGCGTGTCTGGACTGGGTAGAGGCCTGGCCACCTGCAGGAGTGAACACTGACCACTCCAGGAGTCCTCATTTCCAGCCTAGTGCTGACCGGTCCCGCCTCCCCGAGGCGCCGAGGACCAGGGCCAGACACCTGAGCCCAAAGGCCACATGGAGAGAAAGCTCAGTGCATAGACGGCGTGTTTTGAGCCAAGTGCAAAAATCTGCACTTAAAATACTTGGGAATCAGACAGACAGGACAGTACTTGATTCAGTAATGTGGTTAATAGGTTAGAAATGAGAGAGAAGCAACAAAAACCTAGGAATGCATTTAGAAGAAATAGGCTCACGAAGTTGGTGACACTTTCCCACTTAGGACTTGATTACAAGCTGTTTCCTAGCATCTCTTCTTCGCCAGAGACTCAGAGCCTCGGGGAGCTCAGCTCTGCTGCTCCGTCTGTTCACCTGGAAACAGGACCTCAGGAGGGAGGAGGTCTTGACCCTGCTGAGGCTGGAGCCCGAGTCCTTGTTCCCGTGGTTCTCCTGCCGTCTATACAGGAGGCTTTTGGGAGCAGGCACTCAGGAATGCTTGCTTGGAGAGCGGAGGCCAGGACCATCCCCTGGCAGCCCGGGCTTCCCTCCTCCTCATGCAGCCTCTGCAGTTTGGTTGGGCCAACTGTTTTAAGCTTATCCTACGATAGTTTGTGCACTCACTCATGTCTGACTCTTTGCAACTGCATGGTCTGTAGCCCATGAGGCTCCTCTGTCCAATAACACGGGAGTGGGTTGCTCCAGTATTTCCTCCTCCATGGAATCTTCCTGACCCAGGGATCGAACCGGAGTCTCCTGCCTTGCTGGCAGATTCTTTACCACTGAGCCACCAGTGTAGCCCCACCCACAAAAGAGAAACTGACAAATAGAGGATCCTTAAGCCAAGGGTCCTTAGCCTATAGGTCCATGAACTTGGACATGAAAAAAATTATGTCTTAATTTTCATTGACTTGTAACTAAAGTTTAGCATTTCGTCACAAACCACAGTAGAGTTAGCAAGACTTATGGTCTCCACATCGTTTGTTGCAGATATCTCAGTATTGCTTGCAATCATTGCTACTCTGAAATTACAGTCACTGTTAGATCACTACTAGATTTCATACATCCCTGGACACATATATTATTATAATTTTAAAATTTTCAGTATAATTGATTTCCTTTGTTATAATGTATTTTATTGCATGCATTTTAATACAGAAGCTTCACCAGATGACCAGAGATTAAAAAAGAAAAGTTAAGAATCTCTGCTTAAAGAGAATGATCCTTAGGGCTCTATTAACCTCTTTTTCACCGATTTGCTATGGATCATAAATTAATAGAATGTGAATTTCTGTTGAGGCTGAACAAAGGGAGTTTAGCTTCCAAAGCATTGAAGGGACATCTTATTACTAAGGAATTCATGTAAATTTGATAACAAAATGGCACTGTAGAAAGTACACTAATTAGATCTGCATTTTCTGCTTTTCACTGACATGTTTTTATCAATTCAATACCATCTTGGTTGGGGGAAAAACAGATCAAAGGTGCTGTGTGTCTAGCATCACTGATGGAAAAAGTAAGTAGGAGTGGAGAACCTGTTAACTCGTATTCACCAGAAATGAGAGCCCGTGCAGAAGGCCGTTGCTAAAAACCATTAAAGACCACAAATAACTGATAGACTGAGGTTGTGGTGATATCCCTTCATAGATCCTTAATTGAGTAGACATTTTTTTAGTTTTGAAGTTAATTGTAAAAATTACAGTTAACAGATGAAGTTGTAGATATCCTAAAGTATTTTCAATTAGGATGATGTACATTCAATATTGGAGGAGAAAATGGCAACCCACTCCAGTGTCTTCCCTGGGAAATCCCATGGACAGAAGAGCCTGGCAGGCTGCAGTCAATGGGGTTGCAAGAGTCAGACATGACTTAGCAACTAAACAATAGCACATTAAATATAGACCTTCATGCCTCTAATCACTCAGGATACAGAATTCATATCAGAAAAATTCAAGTGTGGAAGTTTGAGGCTTTTAGAAACATGAAAAGTCCAATTTAATAAAATTTAAAATCTTACATTATCATCACAGCAAAAAATGCAAAGATCTGTCTGTAGAACATTTTGTCTTTTCTGGACTAAAGCTGCAGAGATACGTAAGCCTGGAAAAATGATGCTATTTTTGTTGTCTTTTTCTGCAGGTATTTATCATCAGTGCTACCTGTAAACCTATGAAGAGAAAGGTTAATATCTGTGTCACTGAATACTCTTCTTACTGCTGTTTGTAAATTCCCTCAGATTGGGGATTACTTCTGCTTATGCAGAAATTATCTGTGTAATTTATAACAATCTCTGGCAAAAACCTCAGAAAAAAAGATATGCTTCTGACTTAGCCGGATGTCAGAGGCTGCGGCAGGACCTGGGGAGAAGGCTCTGCAGATGGCATGAGGCTCTGGGAGTGATGATTCCAACAGAGGGGTAGCTTCTTGGAACTTTTTTCTCCCGAGAAGAGTGACAGTTAAAAAGAGGATAAAAGCTACGAGCAACACCTTTGCCAATGAAATAGGAGAGGGAGTGCTTTCAAAGCACGTGGGGCTGTCGCTGGGCTCTGAGCCCATCCACGGGACTGGGACGCACGGCCATGGAGTAGAATGTCAACGTGGGTCTGAGAAGAGACGGAAATGGCCCACCAAGTCAGCCTCAGTTCCCTCCAGGAGTCGGAACGCGAAGTGATCCTCCAGGTTTTGTACCGGGACCAGGAGGTTCAAAACACGGAGGCGGAGCGGATACGGTAGGCGGTCGTGCAGATGGTGGAATTCTTTGCGGTTTTTGGCCTTTTCTGCTTGGAGGCCATCTCTCCTTGGCGTCTTACTGCTTGATTAGCTAGTGCCGTTTGCTCCGCATTCAGCCTCTTGTCTGACAAGAGTCCGAAGCAAGGGCTGTGGGTGGAGGTGACCTTTACTGTGTCACTAAGCTTCGGGATGGTCAGGGAAAGAATGCCTTCTTTTCACTTAAAACAATGCCTTTGTGTGATAAGTTGGCTGTCTGTGCCTATCCATTTGCCTACTTTGCAGGAAACATTCAAGGGCAGCCTTCAGACTTCCCATACACCCTTTCAAGGGAAAGACCTCCAGCTAAGGGTTTTCCTAAATTATTTTTGGTGGTAATTGAAGACGCAAAGAAAGCAGCTTAGAAACAGATCTGCTGGCGTCCATTCCAGCCTTCTCTTTGCTCACTTTTGCTTCCCAGCCAGCTCTGAGGAAACAGGGAGCATGAAGTCTGAACCTGCCCAGCCTGCTCCCAGACTCATTTGTCGACAGAGAACACCTTCTCATTCTGTCTCTGAACGGCGCAGGCTGTTTGCCATTAGTTTAACACTTAACAGAGCAGGGCTAGGTTATCAGCAGCGTGTCTCTTGTTAGCTGTCAAGATCCATCTTTAATATAACGATGCCTTGTTTATTGATGTTGATGGAGAATGTGAGGTCTAGAAAATAAGTAAATGGGATGGGCTTTTGATCTCATTGTGTTTTTAATGGCAGAACTCTCTTTCAGAGTCTGCCAAGAAAAACAAACATATAAAACAAAACTTCGGACCACCCAGTGTTTGAGGAAGGAGAGGAAATTTCTGGGTGAACTGGAAGGAACAATGTTCCTTTTCTACTCTCTTTTGTAATCCCAAAGCTGTCCAAGTGTACTTACACTTTCTTCCACTAAAAAAAAAAAAGAAAGAAAGAAAGAAATACAGTGAGAAAAATAGAGTTTGGAGGCTTGTTTCGCGGGATTAGGTTCTCTATTCTAAAAGTGACAGAGACAGTCCATAAAAGAGTATTCTGGCTAATGGTATGTTTTATGGTCCAATGTAATACCCCTTTTCACTAAGAGGGCTCTTCCCTGGTGACCCAGATGGTAAAGAATCCACCTGCAATGCGGGAGGCCTGGGTTCCATCGCTGGGATGGGAAGATCCTCTGGAGGAGGGCATGGCAACCTACTCCAGTATTCTTGCCTGGAGAATCCATCCCATGGACAAAGGAGCCTGGCGGGCTACAGTCCATGGGGTCACACAGAGTCAAACATGACAGAGCTTACTGACACGTTTGTATTAGGGCTATCTTCCTGGGAGGAACAGGAACTGAAAGTAACTGACCACCCATAAAAAATAGTAGCAAAACTATAGCATCAGTTAAGTAACTTTATTGGGGCACTTATAACAACGGCAGGTGTGTATGCTGTATACTTACACATCATTCCCTGTCTTGAATATTAGAATTGATGCCGTTTTCCTGCATTTTCCCTCTTCTTTCACTGTTTTTCTTTACCATTATAATGCCGTTTGGGCACAAAAGGATGAACCTAGAACAAAATCAGCAACTGACTCCTCCATGCCAGGCAGAGTGTTTATGCTTTGCCATTTCATCCTCACAGCTACCCTGGGAGGTAAGGCTTTCACAGCTGAGAAAACCTCTGAGCCTCTGCTCTGAAAGATGGCAGGAGATCCTGGTTCACACAGCTGTGTTAGAACCCGGAGGTGCTGGAATGCAAAGCCCCTTCTCTATCTCCATACTGTTGAGGCCCTTGCCACGGAGTTTGGCTGGCTTTTGCCCTTCCACTCACTGGTTTCTCATCACTTAACCCTCTGGGCTGCAGGAAACTGAAGACGCACTTGCAGCATCTCAGGTGGAAAGGCGCGAAGAGCCATGAGTACACAGAGAAGTCTTGTGCCCGCTGCCAGCAGACCCTGGGGCTCCTGCTGAACCGGGGAGCCGTGTGTCGGGGCTGCAGTCACCGCGTGTGCAGCGAGTGCCGGGTGTTCCTGAGGCGGACCCGCGCCTGGAAGTGCACCGTGTGCTTCGAGGACAGGTGAGGGTGGGCGGGGCCGGCGGGGGTGGGCGAGGCCTATGAGATGGGTGGGGCCGGCGGGTGGGCGGGGCCGGCAGAGGTGGGGCAAGGATGGCTGGAAACCTCCAATATGGCCCAAGACCAACAATCAATAAAGGCAGCTGTCATTTTTTAAACTTAATCGGAAAATATTCAGAGAATGCTTAACATGGAGCTGCCTTTCTAGACATGGAAATTATTGTAACTCAAAAACACATTTTACCAAATGAAAAAGGTTTTTTAGTTTACAAAAGTTTGTAATGGCCGAGGATCATCTAAGCTAGAAGTTAAGATTCCTTTCGGTTTCTTAACTAGTTAGTTTTGTTAGTTTTCTTAGAGCTTAATTTATCTCTTTGAGGAAAAGTGGAGTGAATTGTAATACAAGGAATATTGAAGTGTACTGTGGAGCTTTATTAAGGCCTTTTTGAAGGAAGAAATTTGACCTGTATTGATGCTCCCCTAAAGAAGTGGTTATGGTTTCCATTAGTGATAGACTGAATCTACATTTATTCTAATCTTTTGCTGTTGTGAGATTTTAAAATATTTCAAACACGGAGTTGGTATTTTTGAAATACACTTCTTGAAAATGATGAAGAACACGTATGGCTTGATCTCATACTGTTTGAAGCAAGAATGGGCTGGTCATCGGTTCCTGGAAAACCCAGGGAGTGTTTCTGCTTGTTGTGGGGGAGTGTGCACAAGGACATCACAGCTCATGAGAAGCAAAAGTGTTTGTCTGGTGTGAATCTAGGAGAATAATCTGAGACTGAGATTTGAAAACAACTTCTAAACGTTGCTCAGGTGCGTACGTGCCTAGGGAGACTGTGTGAGGTGATTACAGATGAGGGCACACCAGTGGGATTTTTCTCGCCCCCTAAATCAAGAGGATTGTGTTTATAAGCAGCCTGATATTAATCTCCTTAAACTTCCCCTTGCTTTGTGAGGCTTAATGTATTTCAGTCACTCATTCAAAGGCAGGTTGTTCAACCAGATTGCCTTGCTCCTAAGCACCCTTCTCTGAAACAGCATGTCACATCACAGACACGTGGTCAGAGTCACCTCCAAGTTTCCTCAGTCTGTCAAAGCCAGTGCCCTTCAGGCTTTTCTTAGCTTGAGAGGGAAAGAGAAAGAATTCCTGTGAGCCAGCCCTGGCTGCACTTGTGCTCAAGCAGGTCCTGGGAGAGAGGAGGGAAGGTCCTAAGACCCTCTTCAGTTAACCATATGTACTGGGTTGATAAACACTGTGTCCCAAGGTAGTAAATTCTTCAGCACTTCTTTTAGTGGTTAAAGTGAGTAAAGCAAAGTTGCTCAGTCGTGTCCAACTCTTTGCAACCCCATGGATTGTAGCTTACCAGGCTCCTCCATCCATGGGATTTTCCAGACAAGAGTGCTGGAGTGAGTTACCATTTCCTTCGCCAGAGGATCTTCCCAACCCAGGGATTGAACCCAGGTCTCCCACATTGTAAGCAGACGCTTTATCATCTGAGCCACCAGGGAAGTCTCAAAGTGAAAGTGCAAGTCGCTCAGTCGTGTCCGACTCTTTGTGACTCCATGGACTATACAGTCATGGAATTCTCCAGGCCAGAATACTGGAGTGGGTAGCCTTTCCCTTCTCCAGGGGATCGTCCCAATGCAGGGATCGAACCCAGGTCTTCCGCATTGCAGGCAGATTCTTTACCAGCTGAGCCACAAGGGAAGCCCCTTTAGTGGTTAACTGGAAACTAAAAATCAAAACAGGAGGGCAGGGGCTGAGGCAACCTCCCAGGAAGGGGGCCCTGTTGAAGTCTCCGCCCTGGAGAGCACCATGCCCCAGGGCATTGTAACTGAACCCCTCTAAGCTCATGAAGTGCGATTTCTAAAACCCCAGCTTCCTGGTGTTGAAATAAGGATGTTTTTCAAAATACAGAGATAATTGCATTGCTCTGGAGAGAACTGACCCAGGAAATTGCAGGGCAAGAGAGCTGAGCAATTTACAACAACCCCTCCCCCCTTCATTTGCTTCCTTTCTTCGAAGCTCTCTACCCTCTCTAGTTTTGTCCACTCTGGGCTGCCGTCCACTCGGTCAAACCAAAGAAAAGGATGGTGAAGTGTGAGAGTCTTTGACAGTCTTAACTGGGACCTGGACAGGTTTCCGACCCCGTTCATTTTCCTCTACTTGCTTCTTCTTCAGCCTGAGACTCATCCCTCAAGAAGTGGATTTGTTGTGGAAACAGGAGGAAAAACATAGGTTTTAAAATCAAGCAAAAGGAAAGTCTAGAGTAGCAGTTTTAAAGAAAGCAAAACCAGCGTTCAGACTGCCGCAGTCAGTGCGAAGGCCTGTGGGCAGCGCTGGCCTTGGGCTTGGGCTGAGGGTCCAGGAGACAACTGAGGATTCTCCCTGCTGGGCAGGTTTTCTGCTGAGGACCTGTCGGGGCTCAGGGGAGGGAGAGGGGAGGGAAGACTAAGCTGGCTCAAGGTGACTTCCCAGAGCACCCAGGTGGGAGCATTTCTGGAAGATGGTCAGGATTAGAGAGGGAAATGAACACAGCCAGGGACAAGGAATACCGTGGGGAGGAGTGCAGACCGCTCACCACATGCCCGCTCACCTGCTGGGCATGTCTTGACACCAGATGCTTTGTTTAAATCTTCAAACAGTCTTACATGGCAGTTACTACTATTATCCCAGTTTTATGGGTGAAGAGCAGAGGCTTAGAGACCCAAGGGAGCCCAAGACCACGTAGTAAGACTAGAACCAGTCTCCTGAGTGCCAGCCCTTCTTTTTTTTTTTAACCACTGTGAATGATCCAAAATTATTTTTAATGGTAAAAACTGAAGATATATAAGAAAACAATCAAGTAGAATATTATACCAGTGACAGACTTTATTTTCTTGGGCTCCAAAATCACTGTGGACGGGGACTGCAGCCATGAAATTAAGACACTTGCTCCTTGAAAGGAAGGCTATGACCAACCTAGACAGCTTTTTAAAAAGTAGAGACATCACTTTGCTGATAAAGCTCTGTCTAGTCAAAGCTATGGTTTTTCCGGTGGTCATGTATGGATGTCAGAGTTGGACCATAAAGAAGGCTGAGCGCCGAAGAATTGATGCTTTTGAACTGTGGTGTTGGAGAAGACTCTTGAGAGTTCCTTGGACTGCAAGGAGATCCAACCAGTCCATCCTGAAGGAGATCAGTCCTGGGTGTTCATTGCTAGGACTGATGTTGAAGCTGAAACTCCAATACTTTGGCCACCTGATGCAAAGAGGTGACTCATTTGAAAAGATCCTGATGTTGGGAGAGATTGGAGGCAGGAGGAGAAGGGGACGACCGAGGATGAGATGGTTAGATGGCATCACTGACTCAATGGACATGAGTTTGGGTAAACTCCGGGAGTTGGTGATGGACAGGGAGGCCTGGCCTGCTGCAGTTCCTGGGATCGCAAAGAGTTGGACACAACTGAGCAACTAAACTGGACTGAGCTGACAGAAGCTATGTTCCTGCATTTCACATGAAGAAGTATATAGACAAGCTAAATAAACTGAGTAAAATATTTCATGTAGCTGTACATTTACACAATTTCCAGAGGTTAGGCACTAAGTGTAATTTCACAGAAAAAGAGCCATTTGTTCTTTAAAATACAGTTTTCTTTTTTACTTCTGAACTGGAAACGGCAGCTGTTTTAGTTCTTACCACAGCGCTTGTGTGTTTCACACAGGGTAGGTGTACTTCGTTCTGTGTGAATGGATAATGATAATTACATGAAGGATCATAATATGCTCTTTCAGTTCAGTTCAGTTGCTCAGTCGTGCCTGACTCTTTGTGACCCCACGACTGCAGCATGCTAGGCTTCCCTGTCCATCACCAACTCCAGGAGCTTACTCAAACTCATGTCCATCAAGTCCGTGATGCCATCCAACCATCTCATCCTCTGTTGTCCCCTTCTCCTCCTGCCTTCAATCTTTCCCAGTATCAGGGGCTTTTCAAATGAGTTAGTTCTTTGCATCAGGTGGCCAAAGTATTGGAGTTTCAACTTCAGCATCAGTCTTTCCAATGAATATTTAGGATTGATTTCCTTTAGGATTGACTGGTTTGATCTCCTTGCAGTCCAAGGGACTCTCAAGAGTCTTCTCCAACACCACAGTTCAAAAGCATCAATTTTCCATCACTCTGCTTTCTATATAGTCCAACTCTCACATCCATGGATGTTTAGTCGCTTCAGCCATGTCCGACTCTTTGCCGCCCCATGGACTGTAGCCTGCCAGGCTTCTCTGTCCATGGGATTCTCCAGGCAAGGATACTGGAGTGGGTTGCCATTTCCTTCTCCACACATCCATACATGACTACTGGAAAAACCATAGCTTTGATTGCTGCTGCTGCTGCTAAGCCACTTCAGTCATGTCCGACTCTGTGCGACCCCATAGATGGCAGCCCATCAGGCTCCCCTGTCCCTGGGGTTCTCCAGGCAAGAACACTGGAGTGGGTTGCCATTTCCTTCTCCAATGCATGAAAGTGAAAAGTGAAAGTGAAGTTGCTCAGTCGTGTCTGACTCTTAGTGACCCCATGGACTGCAGCCTACCAGGCTCCTCCATCCATGGGATTTTCCAGGCAAGAGTACTGGAGTGGGGTGCCATTGCCTTCTCCGATAGCTTTGACTAGATGGACGTTTGTTGGCAAAGTAATGTCTCTGCTTTTTAGTATGCTGTCTAGGTTGGTCACAGCTTTTCTTCCAAGGAGCAAGTATCTTTTAATTTCATGGCTGCAGTCACCATCTGCAGTGATTTGGGAGCCCAAAAACATAAAGTCTCTCACTGTTTCTATTGTTTCCCCATCTATTTGCCATGAAGTGATGGGATCAGTTACCATGATCTTAGTTTTCTGAATATTGAGTTTTAAGCCAACTTTTTCACTCTCCTCTTTCACTTTCATCAAGAGGCTCTTTAGTTCCTCTTTGCTTTCTGCCATAAGGATGGTGTCATCTGCATATCTGAGGTTATTGATATTTCTT